CTAATGTATCTATAAGCTCTTTAGGTGTATTTGGTGAATCGACGAATACTTTATTTGGTATGCTCCATGATCTGAATGACGACGAACAACGTATTAAATATGTAAAAAAGAAAATAATTGCTACTTGTATTCGCACGTCTTATTATATATTCTGTAGACGAGACAAAGACTGGAACAACCCGGAACTTTTAAACTTTTAACTAAATTTAAAAGATTTTCACCTGTATATATATTTTAGCTTTATATTCAATTCAAGTAGACATCGATAAGCTACCTTTTAAGTGAGGTTTATCAATGTATATATAGTATATCGTAAATATCTAAAAAAAGTTTCCATTATTATTATTATTATTAGTTTGCGGTGAAACCAATGACCATTTTGATAGGAACATTTCGAAACATATTGGAATTTCGTCCTGAATTGGCAAACCTCTTTCACTGTCCCATGGCTTTAAATTTCAGCCATCACTTTTAACCGAAGACCTGTTCATTTATTAGCTTAGTTATTTACTTCTTATAAGTATATTAATAATTAATATATTAATATTAATTATTAACGTAGTTATTAAATATTAACTAATTAACTTTAGTAATATTTAACGTAATATTTAACAATTACTCACCGAGGTGGTGTGAATCATAGCCTATCGAAGGGAAGATGGCTGTGAAACTTATTAGAATAACAATATTATATAACTCATTATCTATGTTAGTCAATGTTTACTCATAAATCTGGTCCTTTCACCGTCACGTGTGTATTGTATATTTACCAAAGTCCACCAATAGCAATTTCCAGTTTCCCTATTGTTCGAGTCACGGATAGGTGACTCTCCTAAAACATTCCGATTGGTTAGTTGGGAAAAAATACAATACACATGTGACGGTGAAAGGACCAGATTTATGAATAAACGTTGACCAACATAGATAATGAGTTATGTCGTTATTCTAATGAGTTTCACAGCCATCTTCCCTCCAATAGGCTGGTGAATTAGCCATTCCGAAGTTGATGAGAGGACTGGGGACGAGTGTTAAAAAGTGCCCAAATTAAGAATGAACCAAATGACTAAAAAGAACATCTAAAAATTAGTAAGTATACAAGGTTTGAAGACGTTTACATTAATACCCTTCGAATAATAAGCTTTCGAAAATTGTGAAATTACTGATTAAAAGATTGTTTTTGGGACGCGCATCCCCAAAACCAAAATTACAATACATTTCATATATAGTAAATATCACCATATTCGAAAGGCAGCTTATTATTCGAAGGATATTCATGTAAACGTCGTCAAACTCTGTATACTTACTAATTTTGAGGTGGTTTTTTTAGTGATTTGGTTCATTTCTTAATTTGGGCACTTTTTAACGCTCGTCCCCAGTCCACTCATCAACTTCGGAATGGTTAATAGTGCAAGGATATTCACCAAGACAAGAACCGTCGAGGTGAGTACCGACACTGCATGTGTGCAAGGATATCCTGAACGTAGTGCAAATTCAAGAATAGTGCAAGGATAATTTAGAAAAGGAAAAAGGACAAAATCAAGAAACGTAAGCTTGCATTTTCATATAAAACTACATTGTTTATTACTCTTTTTAAAATATAATTTTAAATTCATTTCGATTTAATTTAATTTTATTGTATAGGACTGTACGGAAGGTTTTAAATATCCAGTCATTATTTTCATAACGTTTCTGGCAGTTTACTGTCCAATTTACAAGCTATATGTATTACAAAAATGACTATAAACTTTTTAAAATAGTTATCTGCAAGGATAATTTGAACAAATTTTCACTTACAATGTTTAAATTAAACAACTTTTTTACTCTTGGATCTTTAAGTCCAGTAAAATGAGTATGAAAGTTGGTGTTCCAACCACTCGCGTCCCTATTTGTAAATGTAAATGTGTTTATTAAGTTTCTGACATTCAGCAACTGAAAGGTTGAAATACGCCGAAATTAAATTAATATTACAGGTGATTAGAATTTATGTATGACTAATTATTTTTACAACAATTAATTAAGATTTAAGATTAATAATTCATAATAATATCTATAGAAAGTATCACAAACATTAAATATCTATGAAAGGAAGTTTTTACAAGTGCCAGAGTTTCGCTAAAATTCCCAATCGACGATGGGATGTACGAGTTTTTAAACCGGTTTGTTCTACATCTATAAGGAATTAATTTATTTTGGTACATCAGTCATCAGATCATAATAAAGTTGTGTTCATATTGAACGAGTTCAGACAATACATCCGACTGTTGTAAAGCATTTTCCCGAAAAAGGACGTGCATATAGTAGGTTTCTTCTGGTAGCTAAGGTTGGTAGATTATATTAGTAGTAATATAGGTACCGTTCGACCCGGATTTTCAGGGGGCCGCAGGGGGCCGCAAGGGGGCCGCATCATTATATATGCATGTAATTACTATGCAAGGGGGCCGCATCATTATATATGCAGGTAATTAAGGGTTCCGCACAAATGAGGGTGCGTAGTGACGTCACTCATTAACACACGTCATAATTATATGCAATGACGTCACGCGGGCGAGCTTAAACACGATCGGGCGAAACTTGCTGACTACGCATTTTTTAGCGGCCCCCACGTTTATGATACAATTGAGGGATTAATGTTGGCTTACTATGATTGGTTGTTTGATTTAACGAGCGTCTGTATAAAATCGGCAAGCGTCTTGTAACAAGCATCGTCTATATTTTGACAACGCTCTTACCGGAGGTCTTTTGGCAAGCTGCTGAAATTTATCTTGTTGGTAGAATTAACGTTTATTGGTTGTTGGAAGATAAAGTTTTTTTGAGGGGAAACAAATTTTCGCGCTCTTTTTCAGTCGAGATGGAGCAAGCAAAGTGGGAAGAGGTTGTTTCTTCGTGGATGAGTGGTAAATCGTTTGAATTGAGTACAGAGTGTGAGAATGGGGTTGGTTTACCTATTGAAAAGGCGAAATGGCAAATTACAGATTTGGAAAACATTTTGATTGAAAAGGGTTTGGTACCGAAATTTATTCGTGGGGACGATGCCCTGTATGATATATTGTTGCGTCAAATGCAATCACAATTGATTCTGAGTGTTGGTGTTCCTAAACGAGTGCAAGGCCCTACCTTTACATATTTGTCGAACTGTAAGCAGATGCTTGTGGGTGAGATATTTGCAGATATGACAAAAAGGAAGGAAAAATTCGAGAAGAAAACAGGTGTTAGCTTGGACAACTATTACAGATTGGCTGCGAGCGAAGTCGAGAATGGGAAGAAAAGAAAAAAAATGTCTGAGTCGAATGGAAGCAACAAGGCCCTCGGGTGACCAACACTGGCATCGTGCTCTTCAGTAATCCACTACAATACCAGTACATGATTGAAGAAACAGGAGAGACATTTAATAGTTCTAAATCTAACACTAAGGAGGCCTATGATGAATTTCGTAGATTTGGTTTAACAAGTGAACTTGATAAAATAGACCTCTTATAATAATAATACGTTGCTAGCTAATTAGTGTAAATGTGCATATATTTACTAAAATAAATACTGTGTGTCTCATTTACTGTTCAATCGTTGTGGTGAGAGTATCATGGATAACATAGATATAATTTTTGATGAGTTGAAACGAAATGAAATTGATATTGATAAGCAAACTTTATCGTTTCATATAAATACAATTCTCGACCGCCATCGAGATCTATATCGTGCAGTAAATGCTCGTGATCTAAATCTTGACCAAATTTACAAAGAGATCAATGTAACAAACTTTGGTTGTATCATTGCCTATTTAGCTTTGGTATGTGTACAAAATGATAGCGAGGAATCTATTCGTCACAATGTACAAAAAACCATCGAGGCATGTCGAATTTTTACTATTCCCAAACATAAACGAAGTAAACGTCCAATTTTAATAACACTCTCACTCACACTGATAGCTTTATATATCAGTCTATAATTACTGGTTGTTTCATTTTGTTCAAACCTCTGAAGAGTGAGGATGCCTTGCTATATCACTACGATACCGTGTGTTTCTGAAAAAGCTTTTCAAAAGAAATGTTCTCTTGTAAATAGTGACCTCTAACGCTTCCCTACATGTGGTCGAAGTTATCATCGTTAACAAAGACATCCCCGGTTTCCATAACCTTTTTGTGTACTGGATCCCTCTTTAGTTGTCTTATCTTGTTATTATTACATTTATTACAGATGTATTGAACGGGAAGTAATGGCGATATTAATTTTGTAGCTAGTGGTTCGGTGGTTTTACAGGTGTATTTTCAGAATATATAGTTTCATTCATAGAACCATAAATATTGTGGTGGTAACGTTGTCGGGTAATCCCCACAGACACAAAGATTGGGATATTAATTAATGTGATACGAATTTACATAAGCGATAGGCTCCTAATGCACATAATAATGAGAGTTATATTCATAGTGATCACCTTAATTAATTTATAAGTGATAATTTTCCGAAGTTACACCGAGGATGATAAAACAACGAGAGGTTTCCGACCTAGCGCCATTTTGTTTCGTGATGAAAATTTATTCCTGTCACAAAGCAAGGCGAGCTATCTTCAGAGTATCATTCTGTTTCAAGATGTCAAAATAGGGAGAGTAGATATAAATGTTAGAGGTTCTAAGTGAAATTATGGCTTACTTGACTTTAGTTTTTAAAGTGAGCGGGTTTTGTGACCTTGAAATTGTGCAAGAAGCTATGAGAATCTGTGTATGGGATTTGAAACAAGTGGATATAGCTAGTTTTGAAATAAAACAATCTTGGACGCAGCGCTTAGTTGCATGGTTACACCGTAACCTGGTGGAATTTGAATATCACTAATCCAGGTTGAATATCAAAAGTCATTAACTGTTATACAGGGCTGAACACATTGTATTTTTATGACATTGCCCGGACGTGTTTATGCGGGTCTAGTGAGAAATTGGTTGATTGTGCTTTTCATGTTGCTTGTTATTTGGAAGTGAAAGAGGAATTGAACAGAGATATTCTACCAAAAGGCAAAGCAATGGAATACCACGCCGAAAAGTGTGAACGATGTGAAGAATTTAGCCCAAAAACTACAGAACTGCCACTACGTTATACAAGAAGAGAAAGTTCGATGGACTTTGAGGATTCTAGATGTGATAGATGTTTGTTCGAAATCGATCGACAACTATTTGATGTTCAAGAATTAGTAAAAATGTGGAACATAACATGTGAACATGATAAATGTACTAAGCCAGCAAACTTTTATAATTGTGGGAGGACGTTTGTATGTTGTCTTTGCTACGTGCGAACATATTGTCATATTCACTGTCGTGTATGCAATATATCGCGTAAATGTAGAGATGGTGATTGTATTGTAACATTAGCAAAAGCTAACAAAATGTGTTATCATTAGCAAAAGCTAACAAAATGTGTTATTATTAAATATATTACAAATATATTTCTTGAATGCGTAAAGGTAGATCTGATATTCGTTACACTTCTTCGGTTCGGACCCCACTCTTTGAGCTCCATAATTCGATTTAAATTGCTTAAGCGTATGCCTTAAAATCAGGCGTGAGGTTTTGCGGGTATAAATTCTTCGCGGGTTAAGGTAATTGACGGGATTGGACGAATAGAGATTTGTATAACTATATGTATCCCAATGGATAGATGGGGATATTTATTACGTAGGCGTATGCCTTAAAATTAGGCGTGAGGTTTTGCGGGCATAAATTCTTCGCGGGTTAAGGTAATTGACGGGATTGGGCGAACAGAGATTTACATAACTATATGCATCCCAATGGTTAGATAGGGATATTACATCTTTACGTGTTTGGAGTGATTCGACCTTTATATCAAGCAAACCGTAATGCATTGGTAATTGAATGTTATGGTATTAGGAATTGTCCCAAAATAAGGAGCCCAATCCTGTATATAATGTGTAGTAGAGTTATAACTATATATCTTCACTTGGATTTTCGCAGATATTTTGAAGGTTTTTTCACATGCTTAAAATACCTACTTGCGATAGCTCAGTCGGTAGAGCGAAGGACTGTAGTTCCTTAGGTCGTTGGTTCGAGGCCAGCTCGCAAGATTTAAAAAGTGGACATTCGTTTTGATGGGATGGTCTTAAAATCGGGTGCGTGACTTTGCGGGTCGTAAATTTCATAAACAATACTAGAATAAATCTCAAATGGAAAGAGGTTCAGATTCTACGGTTGTCAAGTTGTTAATGAAATTGCAACAAAACACTGAGAGAAATATTTGTCCCATTGGAAACTATGAACGATTTAGAAGTCATGAGACAAATCCTAATAAGGCTTATCAATAATTTTTTGGAGAAAAAACTTTTAGAACAGTTAAACAAATAGTCGTAGTATTTGTAATATTTTTAGCTTGCAATAAATATATTCTCACCAGATTCATTTTCGTGTGATTAAGATACCCCTTATTTTAAGGTTATCAAGAATATTTGGAGAGTAATTTAGCATATATTTTGAAGATATTGTATACGTATTGATATGCACTGCAAAAGTCGAAGCAATTAAGGACCTCAACAAATGTAAATACTTCATACAATCCGTACTCAGGAATCGGAATATGTTTTATTCTTTTTTGAAATTTGGTAGCTCTTACAAGAGCTGTTGGGTTTTTTCTTGGCTTGGCTTTATCTTCGTCTCTTTAGATACCAATCCAGTGGCAACCGCAGAGCGTGGCCCACCCACCACACTCAACGTGAACCGACTCACCCATTTCCAGTGTCTGAATACGTAACAGATTCACACACGCTGAATGTACTGTCGAACGACAACAGCTTGCTTGCATGAGTTGTTCTTCGACCTGCTTAAAACGCAGGCAGGGAAAACAGAAATTCATGTTCACATAGTCCTGTCGACAGTACGCACAGCGTGCCGTGAGGTTATCGTTTTCAGACGCGGAAACGAATAACCAGCTCCCAAAACATGTAGAGTGCACCAGGTGGCCACAACACGGGGTTTCTGTCACGGAACGTTCATCTCTGGCGATGTCTACCAAGCAGAAGTGGCAGGTCTCACTTTCTCTTTGCGAATCTTCGGACGTCGCTAGGACTCCAAACAGACGGAACCATCTTGATGGGAGAGACTGATCTGGCGCTGGAAGAATTCCGACAAATTCCATCTTGAGTTTACCTTAGCATAGAAGTTAGAAACGATACCTGTATTTATACACCCCTATTAACATAATAACTTTCTTTCAGTCTCTATTCATTTAGCATTTGTCGGCAAGATGAAAAGTGTTAATTAGCTAGCACTCACTTTGACCAGACATTTCTTACTTGATCGGGTTGAATTTATTTCGTTCTATAAATTTGATCAGTGAGCAACATAACTTAACTTAAACCTCCTTTCATCGGTTTCAAGATAAAAAAGTAAATAAGTAAGAAATTCGCCAGTGTGGCGAATTTAACTGACTATTATCGGGTAATTCTATTATCGGGTAATTCTTTGGTGATTAATAAACAATACATTATATTGTTAAGTTTGTGACTTGGCGTATGCCGGTAAGATGAAAAAGTGTTAATCTACCATAACAATTTACTAGTGTGGTGAATTTAAATGACTATTACCAAATTAAAAGGTCTAATTGTTTGATGATTATTAGACAATAAAAAATATATTGGTAAATTTGTGACTAGAAGGTTTTCCCGGTGTAAATTTTTCATTCGAAGGCAGGAGAAAAAAAACAAAAAACAAACCCAACAGAACACAAACCAACAAACTAGTAAATATTTCCAACTATAAGACTCATACTATTTGCACTGAGCTGTTGTGTTAGCACTATGGCCACGTGTTTATCTATAGAAATTCAATTCCATAATTTCTCATAAAGAGAAACATTTCACTTAAAGTTTTCTCGACATTAGAAACCCATGCAGAGTTTCAGGGACAAAATAAGTCCCGCACGGGACAAACCGTCCCCCAGGGACACTTTTAGCGTTTCCGGGACACTCGGGACAAAAAAAGTCCCGTGCGGGACATTTATATAAGAGACGGGAGTCAAGCAAGTTCTTCGTCACTCCTCTGACGAATATTTAATTTCCGCTCGTATGTTTTTCAAATTTTACACCTTTTCTCCTTATGTGGAACCTTGATTATCGAGACAATATGCAAAGTGTGTTAACTTCACAATGAACAAATCAAATTTCGTAATATTCTTTTGTGAATGTGGTGGCTCTGAAAAGAGCCGTTTTGTTTTGAGTCTCTAAGACTTTCGCATCCACAATGCATAAGCTTCAACTTCTACTTTGGCGCAGTGCTGGTATGCGTTGTTCTCAATGTGGTTGCCACAGGTTTCCAACCATATTAGTTGGTCAAAGAGTTTTTCAGCTTTAGGGCAACCAAACCATTCCAGATTCACGGATGGGATATTCAGTTTTGCCAGTAGATCCTTTTCATAATACCCGCCTTTGAACGCAAACGTAGAGTCCGGATTTTTACGAGTTTCCATGTAGAAATTCTCTACAATAGTCTCCAAGTCTGAAATCTGGAATGCTTTTACACCCCGAGGGACACCAAACGGTAATTTGTGTATCCGATTTTGAACATAGCTACATGTCTTTCGATCTTTATGTGTGAGTTCGCCCCATCGTTGGTTGATGTCGAAGAAGAAGGACTTCGCTTCGGTATCACCTAACTTTTAACAGACCCATCTCCTTACAAAGGAACTTATTTTGAATGTGATATCCATCCATATCAATTATCGCAACGACGTCTGATATTTTGCAAGTCATGGCAAGCAATACGAACGCGTTGCTGATCTGCTTTTATATATAAAATGTTGGACCGCTAAACATATCTATATGAGGCTACACACCTAGTCCTATCACCCACGCACTTCCTGAAACTAATTACAGGTGATGTCTTTGATAAGGCGGTAAAATTTGAAAAACATACGAGCGGAAATTAAATATTCGTCAGAGGAGTGACGAAGAACTTGCTTGACCCCCGTCTCTTATATAAATGTCCCGCACGGGACTTTTTTTGTCCCGAGTGTCCCGGAAACGCTAAAAGTGTCCCTGGGGGACGGTTTGTCCCGTGCGGGACTTATTTTGTCCCTGAAACTCTGCATGGGTTTCTAATGTCGAGAAAACTTTAAGTGAAATGTTTCTCTTTATCACAAATTATGGAATTGAATTTCTATAGATAAACACGTGGCCATAGTGCTAACACAACAGCTCAGTGCAAATAGTATGAGTCTTATAGTTGGAAATATTTACTAGTTTGTTGGTTTGTGTTCTGTTGGGTTTTATTTTTTTTCTCCTGCTTTCGAATGAAAAATTTACACCGGGAAAACCTTTTAGTCACAAATTTACCAATATATTTTTTATTGTCTAATAATCATCAAACAATTAGACCTTTTAATTTGGTAATAGTCATTTAAATTGACCACACTAGTAAATTGTTATGGTAGATTAACACTTTTTCATCTTACCGGCATATGCCAAGTCACAAACTTAACAACGTAATGTATTGTTTATTAATCACCAAAGAATTACCCGATGATACAATTACCCGATAATTGTCAGTTAAATTCGCCACACTGGCGAATTTCTTACTTATTTACTTTTTTTATCTTGAAACCGATGAAAGGAGGTTTAAGTTAAGTTATGCTGCTCACTGATCAAATTTATAGAACGAAATAAATTCAACCCGATCAAGTAAGAAATGTCGCGATTAATACACACTGGTCAATGTGAGTGCTAGCTAATTAACACTTTTCATCTTACCGACAAATGCTAAAGAATAGAGACTGAAAGAAAGTTATTATGTTAATAGGGGTGTATAAATACAGGTATCGTTTCTAACTTCTATGCTAAGGTAAACTCAAGATGGAATTTGTCGGAATTCTTCCAGCGCCAGATCAGTCTCTCCCATCAATATGGTTCCGTCTGTTTGGAGTCCTAGCGACGTCCGAAGATTCGCAAAGAGAAAGTGAGACCTGCCATTCTGCTTGGTAGACATCGCCAGAGATGAACGTTCCGTGACAGAAACCCCGTGTTGTGGCCACCTGGTGCACTCTACATGTTTTGGGAGCTGGTTATTCGTTTCCGCGTCTGAAAACGATAACCTCACGGCACGCTGTGCGTACTGTCGACAGGACTATGTGAACATGAATTTCTGTTTTCTCTGCCTGCGTTTTAAGCATGTCGAAGAACAACTCATGCAAGCAAGTTGCTGTCGTTCGACAGTACATTCAGCGTGCGTGAATCTGTTACGTATTCAGACACTGGAAATGGGTGAGCCGGTTCACGTTGAGTGTGGTGGGTGGGCCACGCTCTGCGGTTGCCACTGGATTGGTGTCTAAAGAGACGAAGATAAAGCCAAGAAAAAACCAACAGCTCTTCTAAGAGCTACCAAATTTCAAAAAGAATAAAACGTAATCCGATTCCTGAGTACGGGTTGTATGAAGTATTCACATTTGTTGAGGTCCTTAATTGCTTGGACTCTAGCAGTGCATATCAATACGTATACAATATCTTCAAAATATATGCTAAACTACTCTCCAAATATTCTTGATAACTTTAAAATAAGGGGTATCTTAATTACACGAAAATGTATCTGGTGAGAATCTATTTATTGCAAGCTAAAAATATACTGAGTACGGATTGTATGAACTATTTACATTTGTTGAGGTCCTTAGTTGCTTGGACTCTAGCAGTGCATATCAATACGTATACAATATCTTCAAAATATATTCTAAATTGCTCTCCAAATATTCTTGATAACCTTAAAATAAGGGGTATCTTAATCACACGAAAATGTATCTGGTGAGAATATATTTATTGCAAGCTAAAAATATTACAAATACTCCGACTATTTGTTTAACTGTTCTAAAAGTTTTTTCTCCAAAAAATTATTGATAAGCCTTATTAAGATTTGTCTCATGACTTCTAAATCGTTCATAGTTTCCAATGGGACAAATGTTTCTCTCAGTGTTTTGTTGCAATTTCATTAACAACTTGACAAACGTAGAATCTGAATCTCTTTCCATTTGCGATTTATTCTATTATTGTTTATGAAATTTACGACCCGCAAAGTCACGCACCCGATTTTAAGACCATCCCATCAAAACGAATGTCCACTTTTTAAATCTTGCGAGCTGGACTCGAACCAACGACCTAAGGAACTACAGTCCTTCGCTCTACCGACTGAGCTATCGCAAGTAGGTATTTTAAGCATGTGAAAAAACCTTCAAAATATCTGCGAAAATCCAAGTGAAGATATATAGTTATAACTCTACTACACATTATATACAGGATTGGGCTCCTTATTTTGGGACAATTCCTAATACCATAACATTCAATTACCAATGCATTACGGTTTGCTTGATATAAAGGTCGAATCACTCCAAACACGTAAAGATGTAATATCCCTATCTAACCATTGGGATGCATATAGTTATGTAAATCTCTGTTCGCCCAATCCCGTCAATTACCTTAACCCGCGAAGAATTTATGCCCGCAAAACCTCACGCCTAATTTTAAGGCATACGCCTACGTAATAAATATCCCCATCTATCCATTGGGATACATATAGTTATACAAATCTCTATTCGTCCAATCCCGTCAATTACCTTAACCCGCGAAGAATTTATACCCGCAAAACCTCACGCCTGATTTTAAGGCATACGCTTAAGCAATTTAAATCGAATTATGGAGCTCAAAGAGTGGGGTACGAACCGAAGAAGTGTAACGAATATCAGATCTACCTTTACGCATTCAAGAAATATATTTGTAATATATTTAATAATAACACATTTTGTTAGCTTTTGCTAATGATAACACATTTTGTTAGCTTTTGCTAATGTTACAATACAATCAGCACCTCTACATTTACGCGGTATATTGCATACACGACAGTGAATATGACAATATGTTCGCACGTAGCAAAGACAACATACAAACTTCCTCCCACAATTATAAAAGTTTGCTGGCTTAGTACATTTATCATGTTCACATGTTATGTTCCACATTTTTACTAATTCTTGAACATCAAATAGTTGTCGATCGATTACGAACAAACATCTATCACATCTAGAATCCTCAAAGTCCATCGAACACTTTTCGGCGTGGTATTCCATTGCTTTGGCTTTTGGTACAATATCTCTGTTCAATTCCTCTTCCACTTCCAAATAACAAGCAACATGAAAAGCACAATCAACCAATTTCCCACTAGGCGAGCTTAAACACGTCCGGGCAATGTCATAAAAGTACAATGTGTTCAGCCCTGTATAACAGTTAATGACTTTTGATATTCAACCTGGATTAGTGATATTCAAATTCCACCAGGTTACGATGTAACCATGCAACTAAGCGCTGCGTCGAAGATTGTTTTATTTCAAAACTAGCTATATCCACTTGTTTCAAATCCCATACACAGATTCTCATAGCTTCTTGTACGATTTCAAGGTCATAAAACCCGATCACTTTAAAAACTAAAGTCAAGTAAGCCATAATTTCACTTAGAACATCTAACATTTATATCTACTCTCCTTATTCTGACATCTTGAAACAGAATGATACTCTGAAAATAGCTCGCCTTGTTTTGTGACAGGAATAAAAATTTCATCACGAAACAAAATGGCGCTAGGTCGGAAACCTGTCGTTGTTTTATCATCCTCGGTGTAACTTCGGAAAATTATCACTTATAAATTAATTAAGGTGATCACTATGAATATAAGTCTCATTATTATGTGCATTAGGAGCCTATCGCTTATGTAAATTCGTATCACATTAATTATCCCGATCTTTGTGTCTGTGGGGATTACCCGACAACGTTACCACCACAATATTTGTGGTTCTATCAATGAAACTATATATTCTGAAAATAGACCTGTAAAACCACCGAACCACTCGCTACAAAATTAATATCCCCATTACTTCCCGTTCAACACATTTGTAATAAATTTAATAATAACAAGATAAGACAACTAAAGAGGGATCAAGTACACAAAAAGGTTACGGAAACCGGGGATGTCTTTGTTAACGATGATAACTTCGACCACATGCAGGGAAGCGTTAGAGGTCACTATTTACAAGAGAACATTTCTTTTGAAAAGGCTTTTCAGAAACACACGGTATCGTAGTGATATTGACTCTTAATGGCTGTTTGTGTTTGGTTCCGCGCGACCCTCCCGCGTGACCCGCCAGCCTGATTAGTGTACAAATATTTTGTACGTTAATATATACATGCACCCGCAAAGTCACGCGCCTGATTTTAAGGCATACACCTGCGCTATAAATAATCCCTATCTATCCATTGGCATACACTCAGTTATGTAAATTCGTACTGCCTTAATCCCCTTAATCACCTACACGCCTCCTAATGACTAGCAACCCATAACAACGCAACATTTGTAAAGTTTAAAACATGCTTATTGATACAAATAACAGACGATAGTGTCAAAAATATTACAACTAAAACTATTTGTTAAACTGTTCTATAAGTTTTTTTCTCCATGTGTTCTTGATAAGCTTTCTTATGATCTGCCTCAAAACTTCTAAATGGTTCACCCGTCACCTTCACAGAATACATGTAACTCGCTTTGCTTATCAATATCAATTTCATTCCGTTTCAACTCATCAAAAATTATATCTAAGTTATCCATGATACCCTCACCACAACAATTGAACAGCGAATGAGACACACAGTATTTATTTCAGTAAATATATGCAAATTTACATTACTAGCTAGCAACGTATTATTATTACAAGAGGTCTATTTTATCAAGTTCACTTGTTAAACCAAATCTACGAAATTCATCATAGGCCTCCTTAGTGTTAGATTTAGAACTATTAAATGTCTCTCCTGTTTCTTCAATCATGTACTGGTATTGTAGTGGATTACTGAAGAGCACGATGCCAGTGTTGGTCACCCGAGGGCCTTGTTGCTTCCATTCGACTCAGACATTTTTTTTCTTTTCTTCCCATTCTCGACTTCGCTCGCAGCCAATCTGTAATAGTTGTCCAAGCTAACACCTGTTTTCTTCTCGAATTTTTCCTTCCTTTTTGTCATATCTGCAAATATCTCACCCACAAGCATCTGCTTACAGTTCAACAAATATGTAAAGGTAGGGCCCTGCACTCGTTTAGGAACACCAACACTCAGAATCAATTGTGATTGCATTTGACGAATCAAAATGTTTTCCAAATCTGTAATTTGCCATTTTGCCTTTTCAATAGGTAAACCAACCCCATTCTCACACTCTGTACTCAATTCAAACGATTTACCACTCATCCACGAAGAAACAACCTCTTCCCACTTTGCTTGCTCCATCTCGACTGAAAAAGAGCGCGAAAATTTGTTTCCCCTCAAAAAAACTTTATCTTCCAACAACCAATAAACGTTAATTCTACCAACAAGATAAATTTCAGCAACTTGCCAAAAGACCTCCAGTAAGAGCGTTGTCAAAATATAGACGATGCTTGTTACAAGACGCTTGCCGATTTTATACTGACGCTCGTTAAATCAAACAACCAATCATAGTAAGCCAACATTAATCCCTCAATTGTATCATAAACGTGGGGGCCGCTAAAAAATGCGTAGTCAGCAAGGTTCGCCCGATCGTGTTTAAGCTCGCCCGCGTGACGTCATTGCATATAATTATGACGTGTGTTAATGAGTGACGTCACTACGCACCCTCATTTGTGCGGAACCCTTAATTACCTGCATATATAATGATGCGCCGCCCCCTTGCATAGTAATTACCTGCATATATAATGATGCGCCGCGCCGCGCCGCCCCAAAAAAGGGGCCCGAACGGTACCTATATTACTACTGATATTCCACTAATTGTTGTCACAATGAAAGGAAAAGGCAATACTTTTAAAGATGTTTTTGTAAGGAGAAAAAAGGTTGAACAGGCATTGCAATGGTTGATAAAACATAACCCCCAATACCCCAGTGTAAAGGTTAATATTACTTCACTTAACTCTTTACCAGTTAATGGTGTTCCAGCTGAACTCCAAATTATTGAATCAGACAATGATCCGGAGGGAAAATTAGATGAAATTTATCATTCTTATGACACAGAAGGTTTAAAAACAAAAATAATGCTCCTTGTGTTTCTGATGAAAAGGATGAAGTATTCAATCACAAAACTGAAACAAGCACTTTTCTTCCCCATAGTGACAATGATCAACTTGAACAAGATGCCATACATAGCCGACTAGGTACAAAAATCAGTTGGCCACTTGTTGAAGATCAACCACTAAACGAGTACACAACACCGTTTTATCAACAATGGCATTTTCTTGTTTGTTTCCAGATGGTAAGGGTGATCTTACTAACCCATCATTGTGTAGAGATATTACCCTTGGTAATAAAATACAGCCTCTCATTAAGTTTGCAGAGTTTGTAAATGGTAAATGGATTTATAGGGTTTGCATCTCATCCTAGATTTTCATATTCGGCTCTGAATATGATTCAACGAAAGAGAATGATGCAACAAAACGCCATTTTTCTCAAACAAAATCCTGAAGAATCCCATCTTACGATAGATGAGTTGCGAAACATGGCAAATAGTAGTACTTTCATGTCCAAACTATCGAGATATGCAAGTAACATAACTGGCAGTTCATCGTATTGGTATAAGATTCGAGAAGATTTAAAGGCTATAATTGCTTGTAAGGGAGCTCCTACAATCTTTTTTACGTTTTAGTCTGCAGATATGCACTGGCTTGAGTTGCACTCGCTTTTAGATCCAAATTATGAAAATCTGACTGGAGACGGTCGGCGAAAAAATGTCATCAACAACCACATTTTGTTGATTGGTTTTTTACTAAACGTTTAGAAAGTTTCCTCAAACACTGGCTATAGGATACTTTAAATGCTGAGTGGCATTGGTATAGATACGAATTTCAAGCAAGGGGTAGTATCCATTGCCATGGTACAGCAAAGTTGAAAAATGACCCTGGTCGTTGTAACCTTACTGAGATAGCGTTAAAATGTTTTCTAGCAGAGAAATGCCCAAATGATTGCGAAGATGTTAATATTTTGCTTGATA